TTATTGAAATAAAATCCATATTCAATTGTTTCAAATGACAAGTTTTAATGCAAAAATAAATAAAAAACACCAAGGAGGGCACTGAATATTTTTGCAAGGCACTGAAATAATTCCTTTTTGGGGAAACAATGTTTTAATTTCTCTGAGTTCTATATTACTGCATAGTACAACATCAAAATACAAAGTATCTTTACCCTATGTGGTTCTTTTTAAAACAAATTCCGGTTTTACTGGCAACGTCATAATACATTGCCGAAAGCATTTTTATCTTTATACACACATTACTAAAGGACTGCTGGCAAATTAAATACACGTCTGCACCCTTTTGATTGTGTGGGCTGATAATCAATTTAAGAGCAGAGGCAGCCCACCAATGTCATCATGTAGACTCTACAGAGTATTATTTGCTAAAAGGTTCAATAAAAAAAATCATAGAAAGTTGTTTAAAAGGGTGTAAGATGCATGCCCTCTGCTGGTATATTTAGGAATTAAGTTGTCATTGACAAGCTTAAACACAGGACAACAAAAACTTAAGAGCATCAAGTAAAACGGAAAAAGATGTATCTGTATCTTCTTTGTCGAGTACTCTATGATTGTGGTTTTGTAATGACTGAGAAAGTGACCAGATTATGTAAACGACATGGTGCTTTCAAGTTAACTGAAATCAGTGTTCCTGTTTGTTTCTCATAATCATTTCTATGCACACACTCATCCTATCATAGACTGAATTTGTATAACTTATTTGTTTTAGCAGGCTGACCCTAGACAGGCATTTGTTAATACTAACATTTAACAGAGTACTGGCTTCTCTCATTTTAATACTTTATTGTGTAGCATATAGCTGCTATATCTTTCCAGAAAATATAAATAAATTATGTATACTCATCAAACAGCAGCAAGTAATTGACAAACTAACACAGACATTGAATTATGTTTCGTTGATGTGTTTATTAAGCAATTTAAAAGCATTCCATGTCTTCAAGTATAAATATATATATCGTGAAAATATCAGACAAACTCATTTTTACTACCATCTTTTGGGTTTCTCTTCCCCACTACCTTCTCCTTGGAGATATCCGTCATACAGCTCTCTGAGGTGGAGGATGAGCTCTTCTGTGTTTTGTCCTGTGAGCGCCGACACAGGGATGACCCGCTGGGAGACGTGGCTCTTTAGAGTCTCTAGCTTCTCCCGGGCCTCAGGAAGGTCCATTTTGTTGGCTATGATGACTTGAGGGCGCAGGGACAGACCCGGCTCATACTGGTCCAGTTCATAACGCAAGTGCACGAGCTGGGTCCAGGGCTCTGGGGAAGACAGGTCCAAAACATAGAGTAGGAAACGACAGCGCTCTATGTGGCGCAGAAAAGAAATGCCAAGGCCTCGATTCAGATGGGCTCCTCGAATGATGCCTGGGATGTCAGCAACTACACAGGACAAGGGTAAAAGTGCAGCATATATATATTACACTGAAGAATAAGCTAAATCTTATTAAATCATTTCTACAGTGTTTTTAAAAAAACGAATATGAATCACTCTCTACCTGCAACTTGCTCATGATCCCTGTAATTGACAATTCCTACATGTGGGTTGAGTGTTGTAAAAGGGTAAGCAGCCACAGCAGGCCTAGCGTTGGAGATGGCTCTCAGCAATGATGATTTTCCAGCATTCGGAAATCCCACCTGATGGGATAAAGATGTTTCAAATGTCAGTTTATTACATTTTTAGAGTTGAAAAACAACATGTGCCTATGAAAATTCAAACATTAGCAGCTTTTCCTCACCAGTCCAGCATGGGCCATGGTGCGGAGCTCCAGCTGAAGGACCCTCTCCTGGCCCAGCATTCCTCGGGTTGCCGTCATTGGTGCACGATTCTCATTGGACAGAAAGAACCGATTCCCCTTCCCACCAATTCCCCCAAATACAGCCAGATACTCCTGGCCGTGCTCCGAAAGGTCGGCCAGTGCCTCTCCTTCTTCCTTTACCACGGTGCCCACAGGTACCTTAATAATAGGAAACATCATCAATGGTTAGACAGTTAGCTTATCGTAGAAACATTATACAAGTCTTCTTAAATTACATTCATAACTGACATATAATTCATAATCAAATAGATGGACTCACAGAAATATAGTATGAGCTCCCGTTCTTGCCATAACAGTTCTTGCTGCCACCTGGTTGCCCATCTTCTCCTTTGTAAATCGGAACTACTTGTGCCAATGATTTGACAAACTTGTCCGCTGGAAGTACATAAAAAAGAAATTAATGACAGAAACAAGTTTGGGCATGATGAAGAATAGACCAAGCTTTATGAGTGAGATAGCGTTGATGATAACAATGATTTGAACAATGTTCCAGCCAGCAGAGTGGGTAGTCCTTAATTTTAAAATAATGAATATGTTGTCTGGAGACAGAATGTGATAATTGTAGAGAATACATGGCAAATATAATAGTGTCTCGTGCCTGGAACCACACACCAAACTTACCCTTCATAATGATGCTCCCCCCATCTCCTCCATTCCCTCCATCTGGTCCCCCCCACTCTTTCCGCGGCTCACTGTGAAAGCTGGAGACTCCTCTGCCACCAGAGCCAGCCATCAGCTTCACACGCCGATGGTCTACAAAACAACGGGTCTGTAGGCCAGATAAAAAAATACTTAAGAGAGTAATCCAAACTGTGATTCATCAACAGCACACTAGCATTAATTACAGACAATATTTCTCTGTTTGTAATGTTTTAACAAGGATTGTTTAACAATGCTGATCTTCATAGAGAATTAACCTAAGACTGGATATAATTAACACCTGTCCATGATAGAGGTTTCTTTTATAATCATCTAGTGAGACATGTAGTAGAGATTAAGGCATTTGATATACGATATATTCCTGTGATGTAATTGTTTTGGATTTCAACATTTAAATATTCCCATCTGTGTCTTCATTCACACATTTTACTCATTGGCTACTTGAGGGACAAATAACATTTTCATTTCACATAATGAGGTAGTGGACAGACTCCATGCCATAACTGTTCATTTATCTCAGTTGGTATCCCTATTGTAGGTTAATTTAAATCCCTAGGTTATGAACAATGTATACCATTATCTCAAACACATACCAGCTTCTTTTCAGACAGCTCTCTCTTCTTCGGCTGCCCTCTGACTTTGGCGCACAGCGAACAGGAGGAGCTGACATCTCTGGAGCCAGCGATGACTTTCTGCCTCACCGCTGCGGATACTGGTAAACTGTGACTTAACAAGCTAACCTTTTTACTTCTCACCTCTTGTCCTAATATGTATCCTAAAAATATTTCCGGAGAAAGAAGTCTAGGGCTTCTAAGTCTTGACAGCGTCGCCAACATTGTACCATTCAACAGACAGATATCAATACTAAAGAAGGGTTGGCTAACCACGGTTTCACAAAGTCACCACGTTTTGCCTCAATACACAGCACTCACAGCAGAACAAATGTTCATTCTGCCAGAGAGTATCCGGTTTACCACTGGCTCCGTTATACAGTTAATTCCCGATGGATTTACATTATTTCATAATCGTTTTGGCACGTCTAATAACTACAGCATGCTTATACTGAGTACGCTACTGCCACCTACGGAACCCGTGAAGGGACAGTTTGTTTACGCGATTGTGAAATACCGTTCCCTTTTGCTAATGCGATTCAGCCCTGTAACGCCACCTTCTGTGCTGGAGTGAGTGTGAGTTATGGTAGGCAGGATGAAAATGAAAGAAAACAAGTGGATATTTTAATATTGTCAATGCTACAGAGCTAGCCTTCGCCAGTGTACATGAAACAGACTTTTAGACAAGTGTATACTTCACAAAATTAGCGGGGATCCTTTTAAAGGTAATCTGTGCTTTTGCATCTCTTTTGTTTTATTGCAAAATACAAAAAAATAAAGAACTAAATAACTAAAATGACATAATTATTCAAATAATTATATAATTTTTAACTCGTGTATCTTTCATTTAATATTAGCAGAGATTTCTCGGTGACGGAAAAGTGTAAATAATAATAATAATATCAAAAGGTGAATGTCAGTTTATTTTTATATAACAAACAGTAACAAAAGACAGCAGAAAATATCAGGCAATGCAGACTTACAATAGATAAGAACATAACATTCATATTTGGATTATGCACACCAAACTTCGCTCTCACTGTTTTCCTCTCACACACACTCACGCACACACGCCGCGCGCGCACACGCACGCGCGCCTACACACGCACACACCCCCCCCACACACACACACACACAAAAGGCGTACCGCACATTCAACCACATCAGTGCATTGAACTACAAAAGACTTGCCATACATGTTCAGTTCACATACAAATGAAAAACACAGATACAAATTCATTGTAGTATATAAGCCTGTGATTGTCCCTGTTGAGTGGCAGCTACATAGTTATTTAGCTGTGACAGCCAGGTTTCACCCTTTGTTGAATAACCCTGCAACTGTTACGTTATTTTACCCATCTGAGATAAGTTGAGTTACTACAGAATATACTGCAATGAACCTTAAAAACCCTGTTACTTGTTTTTCCATCTAATACAAAATATATTAATAAAAGTGCTCACTGGAAAAAGTATGTTGAAGTAGTAAGTTTTATGTTTGTGATAAAGTTCACATCTGTCCAAAAAGTCATATGATTACAGAAATAATGTTCTTAAATATGACATGCGAGTTGAAACCTGCAACATAACATTAGACAAACCAGACCTTTGACATCAAAGATTTTCAAAATATAATGCAAATAATGAATTAAAGTATAAAAAGCAACCTCAACATGACTAACTGTCTGAGTGTATTGCACTTTTTAAAGTAGAGGTGCAGGATGTGTTACCATTCTGTTCCTGTGTTACTTTGGCTTTTTGAGGATTATTCGTTAAAAAGAGCCCGAATTGCACAATACAAAACAGCTGACAATACTGAGTCGTGAAAAGCGCTATATAAATAAAATGCATTATTATTATTATTATTAATACATACACTGTCACTGCAGAATAAAGTGCAGACAAAGTGGCAATGTGTTTTTATGTAAAATCATTAATGATTGGCATCACAATAACTCTAAACTCCGCAATACAATACAATAACTGTAGTCTGTTTAGAGGAATGCCACCCAAAATAAATACCAAAACTACTGCCGCAAGTCTGTATGACTATCATGGATACTTATACACACCTTTAGGTCTGGATCAGTTGGCTAACTACTGTGTCGAATACCTCAGAAAGACATAAGTATATAGTGAAAACACATAATGTTAGACCACACAGCAACACATCACAGTTGGACTAAAAGACAAACTCCCTGATCAAGTCAGGTTTAAGGACCAACGTTTTCACCTTCATAAAATTCATTTCCTTTAGCAGGAGATAAAACAGCGTCTCAACTAGGAATTAAAGCAAGAGCTGCACTTAATCTTTAAGATAAATATCAACGAAAAATTCATTCAAGGCTAATCAGTTTTTTTTTTTTTTTACCACAGTCTCACAAGCCTGCTTTGCGCACCAAACTTATCAATAACAAGAGGCTTGTTAAATACAATAAACATTAAAAGACACGTGAAAGGCATAGACAGCAAAATAATAGAATTATACAGGCGATTGGCTGCAGCTCGTCGAATTTCCTTACTGCTACTTTTAGTACCCTATTTAATCCATATAAAAGGTTCAAATGGACTACATTGTTTTTACGACCACTGTAGGGAGCAAAACAGATGAAGAAAGCATCACATTTGACTGAGTTTGTATTCTTGGCTAGAAAGATGATTAATGAGAGAAAAATTAATCTGATGCAGCCAGATCTCCTGATCCGGCTGAGCAAGCGACACCCTGTAGAACCGTTTCTTTTTTCACTCTCTTTTAGCAGAAAAACAAGGTGGAACCTCATTGCTGATAATTTCCATACTGACCCTGCAACGAAAAAAATGATTCATACAGAGATTAGAAAGCATTTCATACATTGTGTTGTTCACTTTCTCTTTGCCTTTCTGTAATTAATGAGACACAAAATGATATTCAAGCTACACAGTAATTTCTACATGCATTAGCTGTACTCATGTTTTAAAGTTGATAAAATAGTTGAATTTAAAAGGAAACACTATTTTTGTTGTTCAATAATAAAACATTTACTGTTAAATTCCATCCAAAATACTCAATACTTATATACATATTTTCTCATATGTTAACTGGGTATTAGTCAGTGTTGCAACGACAAAATCTGAGATCTAAGTCTATGTACCTGTTCGTAGGTATAGGGCCTCTGCGTCTGGGCTCCAGGGCCTCCCTGGGAGGAGCGGTAGGAGCTGTACTGTTGGCTTTGACCCTGCTGATACTGAGAATACTGGGAGGATCCACCTTGGCCAGGACCTGTAGCAAAGGGGTAATCAATTAAATTATTCATTGTTTGTGTGCGTTGAAATGCACACATTATGGCTGTATGGGTTGTTCTAACCGTATCCCTGTGGCTGTCCACTGTAGCCTTGTTGAGAGGAGTACTGCTGCTGGCTGTACGGCTGCTGCTGACCAGAGCTCTGCTGATACTGAGCCTGCTGTTGACTGTATTGAGAGTTTCCTGGAGGCATACAAAAGGTGTTAGTAATGTATTTTTTCGTATGGATTGGGGCTCATTCGGTTAGACACATTTAGACAATTTAAGTTTGGGAGAGTGGAGGGAAATACATCTTGAAAGCATTGCTTAAAATTACAGAATGAAAGACTGCTACCTCCTTCATAGTAATGCTGTGAAGATTCATCAAAGGATCTGTCGTAGCCTTGCTCCCCATAGGAAGACTGTTGATACGAGTACTCGCCATGACCTGTAGAGAAAACTGTTCAACACATGCAAAAACTCCTGTGCAAAGGTAAAACCCACTTACATAGAGACAGGAAATTATTACTCGCAGATTGAGGCCAAAACATTTATAATACATGTGCAACGAAAAAAAATCCAAGCACAGACAACATTTTCAACGCTTCTCGCTTCAATATTCACAAAGCACAAAGGAACGCCCTGGAGGAAGTGTGTGCTTTGTTCTCAACACACTGCTATGGCACTTTCTGAATTCTGAAGTTTCGGCACACCAAAGGGGACAGTATGGACACAGACACACTGGGGGAAAAAGATTTGAGACCAATGTCAGGCTTTTGCATTTTTTTGCAATACTTTCCAACTCCCAAAGCAAGGGTAAAGACTGTGACTGGGAGGACGCGCTGAAGCACCAGCACTGCAGTAAATCTGGCTCAGGTATGTAGATAAGTGCTTTAATAAAAGGGCCTGAACTACAATGTGGCTTTGTGTATTTGAAAGCTGTGTGTATGAAGTTTATGGATGTGCACGATTACCATCAGGGTAATATTGCCGGTTTATGGGCTTGCTGGAGCACTGAGTGTGTCCATACCGCTCTCCGTAGAACTCTTCTTGTCCCATGCAGGTCCTGCAAGACAGGCGACGCCACGATTTGTTAAACAGTCGGCTGGACCAATTGAGTGCTGAGTTGGAGACGGGCTGTGACAGGACATTTAAGCACTTTAGTTCTCTGCGAATTAAGAATAACTTAAGATCATAACAGACATTATGGCCAGCTTTCTTGGAAATACTTTAGTTATGAGGCTATTATGGGTAGATCCAAATCAAGGGAATTAATATGACCATACACTCTATGTACTGCAGGATAATGGTTATTATCAGTGGTTTCTTAAACAAAAGAAGCTATAACGTGCCAACCCAATCTTAGGAGGCAATAATTAAAGAGGGGAGAGATTACAATGAATAATTCCATGACACATTTAAATGATATGTAATTTAAGAGGAGAAAATGAGGATTAGAGAAAGGCAGTTCACAGGGAGAATCTGATCTCTGCTCGGTGGTGGTGTGCAGAAACTCCAGATTCCAATCTTTCCTTTTCCTTTTCAATTTCATCAAACAAAGTCAGAAAAACCAACCTAACAAAAACCCTCTTGAAGATGCATCAGAACCACGGACAAGATAAAGGCCGTGAAAACCAGAACTGGCTGAAATGTTTCCAAATACAGTGATGAGTTGTAACAACTAACAATTTCTATCTTAAAAATAATTCCAGATGTGACCCAGAGCCCAGGGATGACAGAATGGCCCTGGCAACGCGACCACAACCAAGCAAACCTAAACTATGGAGACCTCAACTCCATAACAAAGTTCTCTCTGAAAACTCTTCCCCCAGTCTTGCAAGGATAATGTACCAGGGTGAATGAGGACAATCTATCGTGGTCGTTGCCCTGGAAACAGTATCACATCCTTTTTATAGCATCTCAGTTACTATGTGCCAAGTCTACACCCTTCAAAAGACATAACAGAATAGGGTGGAGCTATTATTAGACACATGCTGACGCAGCAAAAGTTAAGTGATTCACAGGAACTCAAAGGTGGGGTAGGGTAATTCACTTCAGAAACACCTTTTGTTATATTCCATGGAATGCTCTTAACATCCCGAAAGCAATGAATACATTAAATGCTTTGACAATAAATACATAAAAAAATTTCATCTGTGGAAGCCGTGGCGCTGTAAAAAGCACGACCAATTATTTTTAGCCGGCCCGGCTAAAATAACTGGATGGCCTACCTGCCTGTCAGCCTTCCATCTCGTGCACAAACTTATCTTGTGCCCTCATTGGTCATGCGTGTTCGTGTGTGTTGGAGGAGGGGCTCTGTAAGGAAGTCTGAAGGAAGGAGCAGATTTTTTTCAGCTGCGTAGTTTCAAATTCTAGCGCACTCGAGCTGGTTTCTCAATTCTTACCTACCCTACCTTTAATGTGACATAAATCACACTGCCTGTAGGCTTCTTAAAGTTGAAGGAATATAGGCATCTAGAGCCTCACTTAATGGAAACCTGTTGACAATTTCAGTCCTAACTATCCCAAGGTACAGTCACACATCAATCTATATGTCTTTAAGCACTCAAACTAACCAATTTCCATGTCAAACCGGCAAGAGGAAGTCTTACCACCTACCTTGCTGTGAAGAACGGTAGGATCCCATTGGCCTCTGAGACATCATACTGTTTCCTTGACTGCTCTGACCCATCATACCCATGGCCTGCTGTCCCTGATAGTGTTGGCCCCCAGCCTGGGCTGAGGAGTAGTGTGGAGTGGCAGACTGTTGCTGCATCATGGAGACTGGGGGGGGGTGAGATCTGATACATTAATATACACAGACACATTCAAGGAATATACCTGCATGAGCATTTAACAGCATTGGCAGAAGTGTGCATGATTAAACAAATGAACAAATGTAGAAGGAGTTCCATGTCAATCAGAGCAAAGGGAAAAGCCAAAAACGGTCTAAAGCAGTCAGGGGTCTCTTAAAGAACAACATTCTTTGAAGAGATGCTTTCAAGATGCGGCTCAGAAGTAGGCAATGCAAACAAAGTTAGTGAAGTCAGTGCATAAACATAAATATCCACACAGACATCCAGGGAGAGGAGGGCTGTATCTCAGGGTCAGGAGTTGGAGATTGGCGGGGTAAAAGCCTGGAGCAGAAGGAAGAAGGCAGGAAACCTCTTTGATGAACTGAATGTGTTTGCCTATTTTGATGGTAGATATAAACTAGGAGAGAATTTGCAGATTGATGAGCGCAGATAAACATGTAAACAATTTAATGTTTTGGCAAGATCAATGTGCGTTTGTCATGAATACATTTAGAGGTAGTTTAGAAATCATCCCACTCACTCTGAACACTTGGAAGGCATTACTTTCAGCAATCCCTTTTTTCTGAGTGCTACATTTTCGAACATACCTAATGATAAAAAACAATAACTAATGGGACTTCTTGCACCATAACTATAAAGTTAATGATAATCAATTCTTAAGTGTTTTTGAGTGTTCAAATCCTAAGCCTGAATGTATTAACCTAACCTAGCCCTCTTCCCATAGAAATACACCAAATCTCCTGATAAGGCTGCACTATACCTGGCTCACCTTGGTTAGACTGCAAGTTGAGGTTGCTGCGGGAGGAGGAAGAGGAGGCTGAGGGTGTGGAGGAAGAAGAGCCATAGCCAGACCCAGGACCCTGGATCATGCTGCCCTGGGAAGAGGGCGCAGAGTGGCTGTAACCAGAGGTCGGGGCCGAGCTACCGTAGCTGCTGGCTGGCTGGCTGAGGGATGCGGAGGGAATGGCCGACTGCTGCATGGGGGCATGGCTGGGGCCTGACGACACACACGCACAGTCAGAGCAGCCAGCACATTCCCATGCGGGGCCATATCGCGTTAACCACGGGTCCACATTCAGTTCATCTTTATAGGAATCTTTTAAGGATTACTTATTTATTTAAAAATGTATTGGTCACAAAAAGAAGAAAAAAAGTTGCAGAAGCTGCAAATAAATCTGACTGTCAGGCCATGAGATGCACATAAGATCATAAAAATATTTGCAGGCAACAACGACAAGCAACACTGTGACGGACAAAATCTGCAGACAAACATGCAGCCAATTCAGGATCAAACAACCATGAAAGAGGGGGGAACACGATGAAAGAGAAGGTGTGCAAACCAAGTGTGGGTTTGTGTCAAAAAATCTCACCATTGCTCATTTGACTCTGCATCATTGATGTGGGGGGAGGTCCCGATGCCATGTTGTCATTGAGGTTGCTTGGAGCATGTCCCACACTTTGGCCCATCCCTCCAGAGACCAAAGATATATTGGTAGCAGGAGGCTAGAAATAAAAAGAATGCTCAATTTTTTTTCACCTTGAGAAAAGTATTTTTTCTAATTGATGTCCTTAATTTCCTTATTTTATATAAACTCTTGTCTACTAAATGTATCATTTTCTTAAAAATCATTATCAGTGGACAAATTGCATGAACATGCATGGATGTTTACTCCTTGATTGTCTACCCACAAATGTATGATCACATATTCATGGATGGTAAGAGCATAATCAATCTGATGGAGATGGGAAAATATACTGTTACTTCCTCTTGGAGGACTCACTGCAGGTAGTAGTGTCTGCATGTTCTGATTCGAATCTGCTATTGTGGCCAAATAAACCAGATTTCTGTGCAGGATCTGCTGATACCTGTCAAATTGGAAAACAAAACATAGCTTTATTTACTGACTTTTATTACAATTATACGGCATCAGTCAAGAGTAAAAAAAGAACACTCACTGTGTGCATTCAGCTGTCTTGCCTTTGCTTTGGTAATCCATTATGCATTGTATTAAATGATTGTTTTCATCCAGCATCTTCAGGAGACAAAACAACTTCAGCTGACAGTAAAAGTCACAATGTATGGCAAATTATACACTGAAAGATGGCCTCAGACATTTCAGTAATGTCCTAACTTCAAAAAGCCTTCTTTCTGGGTCAGTTTTTACATTTTTACTCATAATGGGGCCAAATATGGAAGCACTTCCTCACAGTCTTTTTTTAGGACCTTATTTGAAAGTCCCTGTGTTGAAGATTGGTTGTGCAGTGTTACAAAAAAGGCTTCAGTCAGGTAGCCTATAAAAGCAGCAGCAGCAGTCTCAGGAGGCTATATGGCTCATGTTTGTCCAATGTAGCTCGGTTTTCATCATACAATGTCTATTTCCAGCTGATTGTTATATTTTGCAACAAAGCAGGGGTCCATAAAAACAGTTCAACCTTTTGCCACGCTGTCTGACAATAAACGGGCACCCATAACTAGGCTACCTTGATCAGGTGTTGTGCTTTAAAATGATTAGAAACACGTAACACCATTTGAAGCTGATGATTTATGATAAAAGTAAAACATTTTGGTCATTTGTCAGAAAGAAAAAGCAGAGATTGACAGCATCACACGGAATCATTGATGAGCATAAGCGATCGCCTACATTCAGCACCGTGTCTTTGTTATAGGTACGCACCTTCAATTGACTGTCACAATACCAGTTGCCATTTCTTCTGATATTCACTACAGGCTACTTTCTCTGTACTGGCGGACCGCAACCTCCCATCCAGACTAGAATATGTTATCACAGGCGCCACGACGCACTTAAAGAGGTTTACCTTTTGAATCGTTTGCTGTGTCACCTCCCCTTTACTCCTGGGGCGCGCCGAGGAAAACGCCACCGACATTTTGTCATAAAATAAAAGCGCTTCTTTTATTCTAATATTTATTATCTTGAGCGCAGCCCTCTATTTGGGTACATTTTTGTCCATTACCACCAGGAAATGGGGGTATATTGACAATAACTAATCTCTGTCATGAAGGGAGGAAAATAAGAAAACAGTGGATTTCTCTGAATGTAATTCGACACACGATTTTACTGACCGCTATGTATAGTTTGCAATCAAAAAATTATACAGAAAATAAACTGATACGTAATAGTGAAACATCCCCATCCCTCAGTTTTTGGTATAACCCGGACAGTGATAGCCTACCACTTTCCCTCACTGTAGACTGAGTATCCTCTGATTCATGACAGCCAATCAGTCCTCATTGTACACAATGCTCGATGCTCAAAAGCTCGTTCGAGAGGAGTGATTGCAGAAGTTGTTTTAAGAGGTCTCTGTGTGAACAAGACATCTTATTGCCAAAGTCTCATGTTCATATTTGTTGCTGAGCATTTCCGTCCCCTAGCACAATGTAGTAGTCGATAAGTACTATTTGCAGTTCCATTTAAACCCAAAAGGAAACATGCAAATATCAGCTAAATCCACCAGAAAATTCAAAGCTATAATTGTGCAGAACATTTTTCCCCGAAATAATTTGTACTGTGAGGCATACGCCAACGATTGTTTTGGTGTTGCTGTGACAATGTCAATGTTGTTGCATGCAAGTGCGACTGTGGGTATTAAATTGGTGGTCTTTTTTATTAGATTACTTTTTGTAACCCACTGTTGGGTGGTTAAGTTTAATCGGCATTTCACAATGTAATCCTAATATGAAATAGAGTCCTGTGAAAAGCAGCTTTAACAAAAATAAATTAATGTATGATTACAGCTTTGTGAACAAGCAACAAGACGGTTTTTGAATAGTCCATTTATCTAAAGTCTTTTTCAACCCATAAAGGAAAGGTTCAACCTTCATATAAGCAGAAACTTTCCAGATCTCCCCATTTGGAAAACATCGACTCAAATGAGAAAAATGTAATCTGAGAAACACTTAAGCAGTCAGATAAATAGTAAAATATTTGCCTGAAATGTAGTTGAAAATACAAAAATAAAAATATATATAAAGTTACTTTTAGTTAAATTCCATAACTGTGTATTAGGATTCCCAACCAAAAAGGTACAGACATTTAAAGCTCATTTGTGTGCATGTAAAAAAATTACAATATGACAATAATGTATGCATCCTCAGAGAGCAGAAGAGAGTGAATCAGCAACTTCCATTTTATTTACATAGGTCTCACTTGTTGCTTCAATATTACAGAACAAAACAATGATTTAGATTTTAAATTAATTCAAGTTGAGTTAATCGTGTTTATATCCATAGTATACAATATTTTTTAATGAAATAAATGTTGCCTTCTCCCAAGAAGCAAAGCCAGATCCCTTTTTAAACATGAAACCAAAAACACGTTTGGGAGTGAAATTCTTCCAAGTAGAAAACAAAACAAACTTAAACACTCCCATTTAATTGAAAGGGGAAAAACTATTGTCAAACAAGGTGGACCATTTATTGAGCCATGCATATATGCAAAAGTGGCCAAATGACAAAGGGCATAAATAAAATACAATACTGGCGTTATGGGGCTTAAGGGCCTCAGGGAAAGAAAAAAAAAAACGAAAATAGATCCTTCTTCGAACAGACAGAGGTGTACAAGTCCAATTTTATGCGAGAGGAAGCCATCCCTATAGCATGGGGTTGCTTTAGTGCCAAACTCTGACCTTTACAGCTGACCACTCCTGGTTCTGTAAGAAGACTGAGTCTGAGCAGTGCCCCGTCCTCTTCGTCCACTATAGCCACCTCTGAAGCCTTGGCCCCTCAAGAACCGTCCAGGGAGACCAAAAGTCTCAATGTTGCGCTTCCGCTCCTCCGCCCATGTTTGTCTAACACAAAAAGAGACAACGCTGTAGCGTCACATAATGGAGAAACTGTTGTTGAATGTTCAGGATAGAAAAGCAACCAGTACCTGAACTTTGTGTCAGACGAGATGTTGTCAAAGAAGCACTTTGCTTTGTCGTAGTAGCATTTTGGTCCAAAAATACTATTCTCTGCTGTTGAGAGCAATTGATCTTTTCCCTTCTCTCCTTTAGGATTTTCATCTGCAGACAGAAACATGCACTAATTGGAAACATGATACAGCAGACCAACTTGTTAGGTGTTTCTATAGGGACATTCACTGATTTTAAAAACACACATGCTCATCTTCACACCTTACAGGTCCTACGCAAGATATAATCATACACTGAGATGTATCAAATCTGGCTTTTGATGCACCACTTGTCAATGCATTGACCTGTTCAGAAATGAAAACAGAATCCTTGAACAGATGTTTGGAAAGCCAAAAACAAAAGATAAATATTGTCACTCATCACTGCCGCTTAGTAACCGAATCCTGGTGCCAAAATCCATCTGTCTTACAGCTGCTGAGCCTAACTACAGTTGGTATGATTTAGAGCTTGCATGCAAAAGTGTCTAAATAACTTTATGTCATGGAAAAGTGTAAGGTTTTAACAACCTGAGGACATTTAAAAAATAAACGTTGTCAAAAAAACAGAAGATGAAAATTCAGACCTTTCTTCCCGTGCACCTCCCTCTCCAGCTCCTCCTTTACAAACTGCGCGTTTGATAAATCAAAATCAAAGTCTGTGTCAAACTTCAGGACTGCAGATGGAACACTAGCCACAATCAGCTGGCCTCTACTACGGACTCTGCGCCTCCGAGGTCCTAGGATTATTATATTTTGAAATGCATTGAAAGTTAGGACTTGGTCATCTGTCTTACCGTTACAAACCTGTACATTTTACCATTACCTTGTTTTCGGCTGGGTGTTGGCCTGTTTTCATCATTCTGTTGCCGAGTTTCCTGCTGAGCATTGGGCACACCTGGGCCTGACTTCACTAAAATGTAAAAACAATTACACTCACTTGCTGGTAAATGCACAGATTGACATTTCCCAACATTTGTAAAACCTTTTGACACTGTTAATCAAGCAAAGCTCTTCACTTTTGTGTAAACAAGTGAATATGGTGTTGATGCTATACTTTTGCCTTTCATTAATGCAATTATATGCTTACTGTTGGCTCCAGTGGCCCTTCTGGTCTGTGGAATCTCTCCAATAGGTTTCTGAGGCCTTCTTTCCCACTGCTGCTCCCGCTCCTGGGATACAGAGAAGTCTCCCCTCTGCCTAGTTCTATCCACTTGGAGGGTTTGAACAGACTTTTCCACCATGGGGCCCCTTCTAACATGTAAGCCTGGAAGCATAGGCCCTGCATGAAAAACACAATTACTGAAATATGCAACAACCTAAAACTATTCAGAGGCACTGAGGGTGTGGGTTTGTGTTGGTCCATTAGCAGTACATGTGAATTCATTGAATTACCAAGGCCAATAGCTGCAGCATATTGTTGATTAAGCAGAGAGCTGGCAGCAAGCTGGTTGTAGGCTGGCATCCGTAAGGGGCTAAATGGTCCAAGAGGTGAGTAGACATTTGAAGGGCCTCCACCAGAAGACTTAAGAAAGAAGTTTGAAAAATGTCAACACAGAAGATATGCATCTTTGTATAAGTGTAGGTCATATACTTTGGGGTGTGAGCATGCTGTTCTTGTTAACCTGTACTATTGCAGGATCCAGGGGTAGGCCGTGGAGGTGAGATCTTGGAGCTTCACACAGTGTGATATCCTTAATATCACTTCCGCGGAAAGTGATGTACTCATAGACATCATCTTTGGGGTGAGTTGGTCGGTCTGTGGGTCGTCCCTCAGTTCCAAAACACTTGACTAGTTCAGAGAATTGTTTTAAATAAGCCAAGTGTCATCCATGTTTAAAGTGTGCTCTTTAAAAAACAACCATGCTTTTAGATATACAGGCAGGCCGTCAAGCATAAGCCCCACACTACTCACCTTTAGCCAGCACCACTGTGGAGTTCACTTTATCAATTGTATACAAAATCCCCTCATAACGATTTTGGGCTTTCGAAATTAACCCTATTTTACAACCAATGTAGGGCTTTGATGAACTCATGGCAGGAGAATGTCCAGAACAATTGCTTATAATTTTCAACAAGAACACATGTGGCAGCATTCAAGCCATGGAGCGACCGGAAACCATTTATTATCTTGCCCAGGTGACTTCAAACCACGCCCACTGATTAAGGCTTACACGCACCTGGCGACGAGACGCCTACTAATTCCCCATGCGGAACTTTTCATTTATGACCCATGATGTCTAACAATTAGCATTATTGACAATCATTATTATTTGTTACATTTATTTGGAATCAGAATGATTGTATTCGTCCAACAGATGGACACATTTACATTGAAACAGAAGTATATGTGTGTGTGATATTTTATTCTGGCAAAAAACGTTGTTCTAACATTTAACATTGTATTGTTTATTTATATTTATTATCAACTCTGCCGTGTTTTATTCTTATTTTCCTTTTTTTTGTTTCTCTACTCAACTATTATTTTTTCTTCAATAAAATAAACTATGCACCACCTTAAATGTAAGCAAGTCTAAATGTAGGCCTATGTTACCGCCTGCAATAAAGAATAGCCTTTATTATTTGTATTATTATAACAACTTACTACAAACAATAGATCACAATGCTGCTTTACAGCTATAACGAAAGTGATGGTTGATGAAAATGCAATGTAATGATGATCTGCGCCCCCCTGCAGCAGCTGCAATGTCTCTTTGAAAATACAGCAACAACGCAGCCATTTTGAGTCGTCTACGATAGTCAAATAGATAGAAAATCATTCTTTATTGTGTATGAATCTGCAGAGACAGGTTGTACATCATAAACACACCCCCAGATAACTCCTCGATGTGTACCACTAGGGGTTGCGCTATGTACTGTATCAGTAATTTCCAGTAGCGTTGGAAGTCAACACTGCAACTCGCAACCATTTGTCTCGACTTTTTATTCGATCCGAAGGGCCAATCACAGCGCCCGGCGGGGCCGCGTCACTGAGGTTGCTTCCAATCGGCGCATGCGTCTAACGAGCGAGCGCGACTGGGCAAAGATGGCGGCGGGCTCCGATTTGCTTGATGATGTTTTCTTCAACACAGAGGTGGACGAAAAAGTAGTAAGTGATGTAGTGGGATCTCTGGAGTCTGAACTAACTGGAGCAGGGCCCACCAACACAACGACCAGGGTTCAGTTTGCAGCAAATCACCTCGGAAACTCAGCTGTAATTAGTCATTCCAATGTTCAGTGCAGCAAAATGGGACTTTCACAACAAGAGCTCGCTAAAGCAGGTAAGACAGTAAGCTGCACACTCCGGTTAGTTAACATTGGCGTATTTTGCTCACCTTGTGCCACTGATTTTAGCTTTACTTGCGTGTATCCTGAAACTAATGCGAATTGGAGAATTGTTCGACACCCACATTGTTTTGTTGTGTGTTTCCGCTGCTGTAGGGACAGGAGTGCAAGGAGGTGTCATTAGCAGTACGGGGTCCCCGGGTTCAAGTATGGATGGAGCCGCCGGGAACGCATCGAGTATGACAGCCGCTCAGACTCAGCCTAAACCGGGGACAGCTAGCGGAGTCGTTACGGTGGTATCGGGTGCAACATCTGGTGTGGATAAACCTGCAACTACTGCTGTGCAAACTCTGAATGGAAGTGCTGTGTTGATGAACTGTCATGTCACCGGAGGCAGTAGCGGCAAAACCTCACAGTCAGCTGTCACACTTGTAAACAATGGACCTGTTTCTGCGAGTAGAGAAGGCGCAACAGTTTTGTCTGCAAATACTATTATACGAACTTCTTCGACGAGTGCGCAGCATGTTGTGAATTCGTATCAGCCATCAGTAAAAAGTGTACCCACTGTCACGCTTGTGAGGCCACCTATGCAAACTCCCACTAACCCGTCTCACACCGTTTTAACATCACCCACTAGCACGACCGGCTCGCTTATCAACAAATTCGACTCCACAAAAACTATAATGCAGGCTGTTGCGACAGGGACACCAGCCACCATGAGGAGCCCGACTGTTTTGCAAAATGTGAGGACTTCAGTACCTTCAACAATCGCTGCCACTCCTCCTGCTGGAATACGAGCTATTGCTCCACAGGTTTTGGCCCCACGACTCACCCAGCCCCAACAAAACACTCCAAATATCCAAAACATCCAGCTCCCTCCAGGTAACTTTAGAGTGTCCTTCAAGAGCATCTTGAAGGTTTGTCTAACAACATATTCGATGTGTAGTGTTGTCTATTTAGGCTATGTCAGGCCTCAATAACTTTGTCAGAAATGTGTTGCTTCCAAACACAACTTCGTTTTATTGGTTGACCTTTCTGCTCTTGTTTAAACAGGCAAGAAATGGTTTGAGACATTATCTTTTAGGGCCAAAAACCACAGATAAGAAGTGGACAAGGCACTCAATTCAGAACAAACAAAAGGCCTTGAGGACAGCTGATCTACTTCTGTAATTTATCAGACCGCTGCAATATATTGTTATTTTTACTTTGTCTTGTCAGAGAGGCTAACTGTTCTCATACCAACAACTTGTAACTGTGTACCTCTAAATATCTATTTCCTTTTTGTGTGTGTCACAAAGTTTGCAAAGGGTTATTGTGTTTATCTCTGACCACAATTTACAGTTATATTAATGCATGTACATAGCTCTGCTTGGGAGTCCTTTTATATGTATCTCAACATCGGACTGAATGGTCAGACCTAAATAAGCTACAACAATACAGGGTTAAACTTTAACAACATCATTGTATTGACTACATTTAATAACACTTACCTACTTACATTTCAGCACAAACACTTTAGCACACAAGCATCTTAATTCTCCTGCATCTTAATTCTCCTGTGTGGCCTATCTGTAACTTGGTGCTACACAGTGACTTATCACAGCAACAAACAGTCACCTGTTTGATAGAGAAAATACAAAACCAGGCTCCACTGCATGGAGCACTGACCTACATTAAAGTATAAACACATTTTACATGGAAACAATATCTAATAACATGTTAGGTTGCGACTTGAAACCCTTTTGATTCATGGCACCATGATTGTGGCAAATTTGTCTGATTGGTCACATGTTGACTAGAAATCTCTGAACATAGCACTCCCTTCTAAAGCAATATTTGTGTATCAACATCCTACAAAAACATGAATTCATACCCCCTCATGTCAGAATCGCCATGAATGCATGCAGTATATGAATGACAGTGATCAGGACACCAAAGCCGTGACATCATTTTCCTGTTGCAGGTATGGTTTTGGTCCGCAGTGAGAGTGGGCAGCTGCTGGTGATTCACCAGCAGACCTTGGCTCAGATGCAGGCTCAGACGCAGTCCCAAAGCGCCATGACCCCCCGACCTGCAGCCCCCTCCAGCTCTCCGCCTGTCCAGATCACTTCTCTTCAGGTACCGGGACAGCTGGACACAGGGACACAGTCACACACAGAAAATGTGACTCATTCATGTTAGATATTGAGGCATGGATCTGAGATTCTGGATCAGTTTTTACATGAATAAGGTATTCAATTAATCAGACTTGTAAGATTTGGTTGATATTTTCTGTATGTACAGTATCAACTAGTTATGCCTATTTTTTTTCTTTCTACTGTATACTTCTTATTTCAGGAACTTTATAGCAAAATTATCCAAATAAATAAATATAAGCATAACTTATATGGAAGAAATGATATAGAAACATATTTCTGATAGTCATACTTTATCGTTATGACTAGTATATAAAGGATCATATTGCCCAGCCCTAGACTGACTCATTTGCATAGGTTCATGTGTGTGACACCTCCTTCTGTATCCGCTGCGGTTCTGCAGGCTCCGGGCGCGTCCCTGCTGCCTCGTCCTGTCCCCCCCACCACCACCATCATTAAACAGGGTACCACAGTCCAGACAACTGTAGCAGCCACCACCACACTGCAGAGGCCTCCAGTACTGCAGGTAACTACAATACACATCCATTCTAGACCTCACATCCTTTGCATTAAATGTTTTCAGATTAATCTGGGACGGTCATTCACCGAAAATAATTGTTACCTAGTTCCATTATAGCCATCCTGGTTTGTGTTCACTGAAGAATCTGTGACTTTTAGACAACCAAGTTAAAGCAGAACATTTGCTCTGTATAGACCAGGGGTATCCAAACTTCTTTCACAGAGGGCCACATACAGAAAAATATTCGAAGGGATGGGCCACTGACTAGAGGTGAGGTTTATTGCCTCATAAGTGAATGAGTTAGCTAAATCAATCAAATGCTACGCTTGATACAACAGCCTACATCACAGCTTTCAATAGGGTTTCATTTAATTTGTTAGCAGCTCATTCCTTAAAACAGAAGCCTTAGATTACTTATCATAAGAGGAAATAGGAAGGGTATATTTCAAGGTTGTTATTTAAATAAGTTATTGGGCTTTTTTCTTATCAACTTAGATTTGTTAGAACATATTTTCTTCAATTGACTGAAAGTAGGCTTATTAACACATGAACACTACTGTGTAACATATGTTTACAGATATATTTAAGAAGTACAATACAAGACAAGCTCATGTTTCATTTGCGGGACACATTCCATTATACTTCTGGACACCCCTCGTATAGACCATGCTTTTATTGGCCGCGTATTACTCTTCAGGGACTGTCACTTTCAGTTCATTAAGCCACAAACATAAAATATGTTAGACAGTGTGAACAACTTTTCCAACCAGCTGCTCAGGCATATAGACAGAGTTCTTACCTGCCTCTCCTGAAACCAGAGTGCATCTATCTCTGCTCCTCCTGAACAATGACTCCCTTTTCACTACAACAATTATAATATGTTCTTTACATTAAGTCAAGAATAATTGTATTCACTTTTGTATTGTCTTTGAAAAGCCCTTTTGTTCATTCAATTTAAAAACCTTGCTGGTTGTTCAGGTTGCCATGACATTTTCCCTGAAGGTTAATACATGTTGCTGAACTCTCATTAACAGGTGTAATCTCTGTTTTGCACCTCTCGTTTTTCTATTGTAATTTAGGAGTGGAATAAGAGAATTGCTAAGCCCCCAAAGAGTTTATGTTGTACACAAAGTGCATGAATAACAATGAGTATTCTGTGGTAGCAAATATACAATATCTATCAAAACCTTTTCCTGGAAAACTGAAGCTTGGGGCAAAAAATGACATCTCATTAAAGTTGGATGTACTGTCCTCCGGGACCAGACATTTCAGAGCTGTTACTCTGACCTTGTCACTTTCATCTTATGACTGGATATTCCCTGACTCATATAGAACACCATCATGCTGGGAGGAACGTCTGCCTCCACGGGACCGCCGATAGGAGCCCCCACCCCGGTGCAGCCTGGATGTGCAGTTACACAGAGGGGGACTGGGACCCATGTCACTCCAACAGCTATCTCAGCTGTAAGAGAGAAGTACTAACCTTGAATGCTCTTGTCTTTGTTATCTTATACAACTAAATATACAGATGGGTATTCATCTGAGGGTGTTTTCGTGTTCTGTCACATTTTCATGTCTGATGTGTTTAAAAAAGACATGCTATTTGTGTGTATGTGTTTGCAGGAGACCCTGGAGAATGTAAAGAAGTGTAGAAACTTTCTGTCCACGCTGATCAAGTTGGCCTCTAGCGAAAAACAGTCTTCTGAGACTTCAGCCAACGTGAAGGAGCTGGTCAAGAACTTACTGGTACATTTCCCTGCTCTTCTTTTTTGTATTATTTTCCTTCCCCTCTCTCTTACAAGTTTCATCTCCATACCATCAGCCTTTTAGCCTTCATTGGTCTTTCTTCAGTCTTTCTTGTTTTTTTCTCCTCATCCATTCTCTGTGTTTGTTGCACCACAGGAAGGGAAGATGGAGCCTGAAGATTTCACCAGTAGGTTGTACCGGGAGCTCAACTCCTCGCCTCAGCCGTACCTTGTGCCTTTCCTGAAGGTGAGAGCAGTGACACTCCAGCAGATATGATGGTTAATGATGCATGTTACAGCTTTTATGCTTTTCAATAAAATACTGTTGCAGTCATTTCAGACTCCAAGCTGTCCAAACCAAACACTACCCTTAGTGTCACTAATACATTACATTAGCATCCTTTTAGATTGTATGTTTTTGATTTACATATGATGAGATGACCATATCATTATATCCTGTAAACAACACTTATTCTCCTCCTGTGTAAAACACTGCTGCTAAAACCTTTGAACAAAATGAAAGTCAACCCGTCTTTAGTCGTTTAATAATAGTGCTGTGCATGTTACTGACGTTTCAGAAAGAGGTTTTGTGAGCACAGTATTCACCGTGAAATAACCTCCTGCAGCAGTGTGGCAGAAATCTGTTAAACAAAGCGTTTTTTAATCCTTCATCAAACACAAGGTATGTGTGTTAAAGTTGTATAACACTAAGATGCTCAGACTGTTTCTAAAGCCCTTCTAAAATGCTAGAATGAATGCAAATGTTCCAATAACTAAAATTGAAAATGGTCTTTTCTCTTAATACACGAGAGGTCTGAGTGTCGAGTACTTGAGTCGGTGTTGTGCACACAATACTGAGGGTATGCACACAGAGACGGTGAGATTCACAGACATTCTTCCCTGTCTGTCGCCCTACTCTGTTAGAATAAGATTGTTGTACCCAGTTCACTTCACTGTTCAGGCAGTTCTCTTTCCCAACATGCAGGCGACCTTGTTTAGGTCTCAGGATCAATTATTGTAGTGTCAACAAACATTCAACTCTAACAAAAAGAAGGCATCTCTTAGTTGCATGATGTTAGCTTTCTTACAAGTTAATATAGCCTTTCCTTTGAGTAACTCCAAGTCCAAAGTTTTTAACATTTCTATATAAAAACAAACAAACAGTGTTGGTCAAACCTTTATTCTGCATTCTGCCCTAAGTTTTTATTTCCATCTCATCTTATATTATCTTATTTATTGCACCTGGGGGAATATATTTGATTCCTCACCGAATCCATCTCTGGCAATCTGCTGCAGATATGTCTAGACATCAAGCTTTTATCGTGGGCATCAGATCGTGTGACAGCTGCTCGTAAACTTTCCACCTCAAAGAGGAAAATAATTCCTCAATGGTTTTTAGGAATGGAAAGTGAAAAGGACTACTCTGTTAATAATTAAACAGCTCATGCATTTTGAAAGATGTGGTCATGAAAAGGGATCCACACATGGATCACATTGACTTTGTTGTCTGTGTGCATTTTGCTAAAATTAACTCAACATTGTTTAATACAAATGTTGGAACCAGTTACATAGGTAAATATTTTATACATTTCAAGTAAAGACAGTTTACATTGGAAATAGTGATTTGCATGTACATTGATGTGAGAGTACATTTGTTTTGCAAGAACAAGCTGTGCTGTCTATTTATTTGAGAATCATATCGTTAATGTAGCTTGACTATTATCTAAATAGATCCAACTTGCTTAGCAACCTGGGGAAGTTTCCTGTGTATTTTTTCAAAATCTAAGTTCCTTAGAAATAAATAACTTTATTTGACCAAATCCCTCTGGTTTTATGCTTCCAGAAAGAGGGTCAAAAGAGCAGATCTCCCTCTATGAAAAGGAGTTGATGACTTTATCAAACTGATCGCATGTCCTCTCTTTCTGCCTGCCTGCAGAGGAGCCTCCCAGCGCTGCGTCAGCTGACCCCAGACTGCGAGGCCTTCATCCATCAGAGCCTGCTGCCTCTGCCCAGCAATCACCCTGCAGCCGCCTCCCTCGCCGCCGTGGTGCTGAGACCCCCCCTCTCCACGGCCCCCACCATGGCCACCAGCACCGCCGGGGCCAACACTACAGTCATCAGCCTCACTCAGACTCCTCACAGTAAACCTGCACTGGTAATTTATCATTTGATATATCTGAATTCAGTCATTGGCAATGCACATAGAAATAAAAGCCCTGCATATGCATCTTTATGTCTAAATCTGTGAATGTGTGCAGGTGGTGCCACGGCAACAGACGATAGTGAGGCCCCAGGTGACTCAGTCTCCCATGGTAACAGTCAGAGGACAATCCCATAGCCGGATCATTGTGGGCCAGCCGCAGATGGTCAAACCGCTCCAGACAGGTGTGTGTTCAACAGTTACTGACACATAATGTATTTCTTTTATATGAGGAACTAAATATGCTGTTGGTTCCTAGATTTTTTGTTTTATATTTTATGTATGCACCTTGACATCAAGTCAAATTCCTCGTACGTGTGAACCTACCTGGCAATAAACCCGTTTCTGATTCTGATTCTGATTCTGTATTGATCTTCCAATAATGTACTATGTACAGTGTGGGAATGCTGCCACCTTGTGGATAATGTCTGTAGTTGCAGTTTTCTAAGCTTTTGATAATATGCCAAATTATTCTAAAGAAAAGCATTACAAAAATGGTACACTAACAATTCAAAGAGAAAGTGTAATTTAATCTTCTCAGTTATAATCAATAATCATCTGAATGTCCTGTTGTATCTCTTTGATTCCAGCAGTCAGGCAGACGTTTACTCCCGTGGTCAGTCAGACGCCTCTCAGTGCTGCTCAGAGGCTCAAGGAAGCAGGAAGGGGAACCTTCAGGTGTGTGACTCCATCTAAACAGCATCAGTGTCTCGACATTAAATAGTGAACTGTCCAGAGATTTCAGGAGTTTCAATCTTTTACATTCTAAAAAGTATTTGAGAATATACAGAATCTTTTTTAGTATTTGTCTACGGTAAAACTATATCGGCATTTGGTACAGACATTGCAAACTAAATGTTTATTACAATCAACCACATACATTTATATGTTCTTTGCATTTGTTTCTTTAACTTTTTGTGATGGTACATTTTATATCTCTGATTTGGAATCGTGCGATGGACCTAAAGACCTGAGTTAATAAATTGACCAGATGGAAATAGTCAAATTCTACAGACAAATTGCATTAGTATTTACATTATTCTAGTTGTTTAGGGTCACTGCAGCTGCATGAAGATGATTCAAGTTGTTTTATTTAAATGTACAATGTTTAAAAATGTATAAATTCTGTTGCTGTTTCTAAGCCATCACTTTTTTTTACTTCGTCCAGGGATGACGATGATATCAATGATGTGGCCTCGATGGCAGGAGTCAACTTGTCGGAGGAGAGTGCCCGTATCTTAGCAACCAATTCTGAGCTTGTTGGCACGGTGACACGGTCCTGTAAGGATGAGGCCTTTCTCTCCCCCTCGTTACTCACCCGGAGAGCTCTGGAGATTGGTGAGATACATAATTAAAGAGAAAATGTGCAGCACTTTCTTGCTTTTAAAGGTCGACGCGGTCTCACACCGACTGAATCTTAATTCACACAACTTTTTTTGTGACAGGTAAGAAGTTCGGTGTCAGCGAGTTGGGGACAGATGTGATAAACTACATTTCCTACGCCGCACAGCAGCGACTCAGACACCTGCTGGAAAAAGTGTCACAAGTGGCGCAGCATAAAAACATAACCTTCAAGGTGAGTATTAATTACAGTCATTTGGGAGCTGCTGAGACCCATTGCCTCCTTCGCCTGTTTTACCTGATGTAACCCACTCTACCTCCCTTTCCCCGTCCTTCAGGAGGAAGAGCGCTGCGAGCAGGTCAGCGATGTGCGAACCCAACTTAAATTCTTTGAGCAGCTGGATCAGATGGAGAAGCAAAGGAAGGAAGGGCTGGAGAGGGAGATTCTGTTGAAGGCTGCTAAGGTAACGATGCATATAAACAAGGTCACACCATCGACAGGACGACTCCCACACACTTTGATTATTGCATAGACATGGCGAGCTGTCTTTGCTCAGTGTCATTATTTCCTCTGCTGCTTAAAGTACCTAGAGCACAGACCTTTTTAACAATGAGCCGGTGAATGAATAAAACAATTTTGATTGAATAAATCAGACTTATTCATCTTGAAATATTAAAATGTCCTCCACCTTGCTGCAGTCTCGGTCACGGCAAGAGGACCCCGAGCAGCTGAGACTCAAACAGAAGGCCAAAGAGGTAAGAATACGTTTTGATAAGTGACTTTATGATTATCTGTTTTTGTGAGACATTATGAAGTGTTTGTGTGGGAGACTAATCGGTGTTTTATTGCTTGTTATTCCAGATGCAGCAGCAGGAGCTGGCTCAGATCAGACAGAGAGAAGCCAACCTAGCGGCGCTGGCAGCTATCGGCCCGAGGAAAAAACGGAAAATGGACTCTCCTGTTAGAGGAGCCAGTGCTGAGGTGAGGAGGATGGAGCCAATTGGCGTATAGGGTTGTGCAAATTAACAAAGAAAAGGTGAATAAAAGAATAAATGTCTCTCTCTGTTTGCTCTGTTTCTGACCCCAGGGCTCGGGGGCGGGCCCCTCTCAGCCCGGCGGCTCCGGTGCAGCGAGCTCCAGACAGTTTATGCGACAGCGAATCACCAGAGTCAACCTCAAGGACCTGCTGTTCTGTCTGGAGAATGAAAGAGAGACCAGTTGCTCTCACCTGCTTTATAAAGGCTTCCTCAAATAGCACCTGCATTTAAAAGACTAGTGTCGCTCAGTGGCATTAAGGAAGCTGAGTTGTTTTGTCAGATCGGACCCACTCAGCCGGTTCTTTCTTTGATCTCCCCGCTGCTGAATGAAGAGTCGTCTGTGTGTGGGTGGAAAACGATCTGGAACAAAGAGCACTCGTCTTCTTTTAGAAGCCTCTCTTCAAGCAAAGGTCTTTTGTATTTTCAGAGGTGCAAATATTTGAGTTCAGCCCTGATTTCAGTGTGCCTCTCAGCTCGGGTAGCTCTTTAAAAAGCAGTTGCCCCAAACTACACTCCAGTCATACACTGCCTCAATTGAACGCAGCATCTCAGACGCAGCAATCCTCTGTAGAGTGGTTCCATCAGCCTGATTTACAAACCTGCGGCAATGTGCTAACTGTCTGTTGGCGTAGACTCTCTGTTTATTTAAGTTCCTAACAGGGATTTTAATGAATCACACATTCATACTATATTTGATCACAGCCTGTGGATTGTTTTCCATAGACTAACCTCGACTAGCCTTGCCATCTGCTCAGTTGCCTTCTTAACAAACGAAGCCATATTAGAACGTGTTGATCAGCTTCAGTAACTTCGTCTATCCATCAGCTCTCTCTCCTCTTTGTCCTTTTGTTGCATGCTCTGTTTCTTCTTTGCTTGATTGGAAGCAAACATGACAGTTGATTTGTCATGTCTGGTGCATGATGTAATCAAAGGTAGTTGGTATTTGAACTCCCGCCCAAATGTTTTCAGTGAGTTCCCAACACAGTGGTTGAAAGCAAAATAATACAAAGACTACATATACTTTACATTTCTATCAATCATCTCTAGAGCACATCGTACTGGTTGGGATTTGTCCCAACTTTGCAGCAGTTGACGATATAACATTTAACTACAAGAACTGAAACTAGTGTTAATGTTAACATCCACTCCTAACTGTATTTCTGCGCTGCACTTCTGGTATGTTATTGTATGGGTAGCAAGCTTGTCATGCGTTGATATTCAAGAGCCGGGAGAGGTAATGAAAGATTTACATTCTGAAAATAGTTTGGCCCTGTGTAAATTGTTACGAGGAAACTATCGAGTAAATGTTCTGCCCTTCATTAGTGTCATATAAAAGGTGATTGTCTTTTCAAAGAAGGGTGTGATGTTAAGCTCTTGCTGAAATCTCTTTGGGGAGGATGTTCACTGTGAAGGATCAGCACATTTTAGATTCTGCTTTTGTGCCATAAAAAGATGATGTAATTGGATGGCTGAATAGATCAAAATGCATTGAAACTAGTATGGTGTTATCGGAAAAGAATATGCCTGTAAGTAATGTCAAGTATCCTGGCTGTGTAGCTCATAGGTTAACATGTGAATTTTAAATTATTGAGTTTGGAGAAATTAATGCGATTAATGTTATTGATTACAGTCATTTAGGGGAATCAGACATTTTCCAATGAGTTGTTTGTCAAAATGTTTATATTTATGAATAATTGAGGATGGACTGCACTTTGACAGGTCACTTTTCTAAAACTAATGAACCAGATAAGCATACCCACTTTATACCTTTTAATATTTTTAAGTGCACATACTATTTGGGTCTTTATATCTTTGTCATTTTATGAGAGAATGTATATGAGCGTGTTTTATTACTGTATATATTTAAGTTTGCTATTTGTAGGTTTATCGGTTGACAACTTCAAGAGTGTGTCTTTTATTTGTCATATGCAGTACAGCAGTCTGCAGTAGATATGACAATTAAGACTAACATGTTATACTTTACTGCCAATATCTTGTACATTTTGCACAGCCACTTGTTTATATGTAAATATTTGAATTTGAATTTGAAAAAAAGTTTTGAATTGCTTTTTTACAATGGATTGAGAATGATCTCTATTAAAACAAAAAGAAAGAACAACTGCTTTGACTGTCTGGTCCTTTAGGTCTTTATAGAGTATTTGCCTGTATTTTCTGTGACGTTCCAGCAGTATTTGTGAACGTGCAGTAACATTAAGTCTCAAAGTAAACCTTTTTGTAGAGATAGAAAGATTTCATTGATAAACATTGAAATGGATTTGATGCCAAATTGAGCAAAATACAATTTTAATGTAAAAACAATGTTTAGAAAAAATGACTTGTACAGCAAACGTTAAAATATTCTTATTGATTTGAAGGGATATTTTCAAGGACTTTGTACAGAAATGAACAGTGTTATTTAGCAAAACACTATTAATATATACAAAGAGCTCTAGGGAAGACAGCTATGGATTATGTTTTCTGTCTCATTGTTTAAAACCACGTTGAGTGTTGTGTTTTGATATAGAAATGTTGCTGTTAATCTTTTTTCATCATTCACTTATTGACTCTGAATCTGCTCTTTGGACAGCTGGGTCACCATGGTCTCCATTTACTCAACACCACTAAATACAAGATATATACATACATCCATTTATATACTATCCATTTAGAATTGCTTTTCATTTGAGGAATTATCCTAGTTCTATAAGTACAATGAGTACCCATGCAATTATGTTTATTTTTATGAATATTTCTTCATTCTTCTAAATATTTGCCCCTGAATTTTTCTGTTAGAAGACGAGGAATTAGAAATAGAGAATCAGTTTCTAGCTCTGAAAGATAACATGTGTTGATGCATTTAAAAACATATTAATTCCAGAAAGTAACACCCTGAGAAACATGGTAATTCCAAACTTTCTGAGTGCTAATTATCTTCTCTTAAAATACTTTCGTGCAAGCTCGTAAAACAATTGTCCCTTTCGAATATAATCCAACATTTTTTATCACAAACCAAGTGCTCTCCAAGCTAAAATAAATGTGTTTTGAAAGGCTATCTGGTCTTTATTGGCTGCACTAATTGCCAATAAGCAATCCCCACGTATCCCTCTAAAAACCTAATTCTTAATATTCTGTACTTGAAGCGTATTGAGCAGCAAATTAAGTCCTCAAAATCAGATAATGAGGAGCCCATTACTGCTGGATGAGATAGTACACCAAGAATGATGCTTCTAACCTAGATACCCGATCAAAGGATGAGCTGTCCATAATATATAAGATTCTAATCATTGGCTAAGACTATCATCCCCCTTCTACCTTCTTATATAACAAGAAGTAGCAGGTTGGTAATGGCATTCCGTGTCTCATTAGAAAACACAATTGACAGATCAATGTGATTTAACTGGAGTTTAGTGGTTCATTCAGATGTCTTCTGCTATCCACTATGTTTTTAAATCCTATTAACTAGTAAGGGGTCAAGGAGATTGTTTGAAGACTGGAGAATTAAAGAGGGGGATGTTTTACAAATTGTTAAGTGTTATTGTATTATGTCATCTACGTGTGCAGTTAACAGTTAATGTAATTGCAACGTTATAACAAAACATTCACCACATCAAAAGACTAAAGTGGAAAGTGATGTTATGACGCGATACTAAAACACTTTTTTCAATTGTCATTTGCATAATGCAATAACTGTATAAGTTGTATTAACATTGTGAATCATATATCAATTTAAAGGTCACCTATTATGCAAAATCCACGTATACATGTCTTTTATACGTAAATATGTGTCCCCTTTTAAGAGATTCGGAAAGTTTCACGGAAAAGATTATCTCTTTTTGTCCTGATCAATCTTTATAGAAACTGAGCACTGCTGTAGCATGGTCAGTAGCTACTGCTAGCGCTACTGCTACTGACCATGCTACAGATGTTAGTGCAAAATCTACAGCTCCTCTACCACAACCATCAGCAACAAGTGGACATGGAGAATTACATGAACTACATGTTGCCAAGGGGCATAAACAGAAGGGCAACCATGTTCGGGGGTCTTCTTCGCTGCTTTTGGTGTATTTTGTGGCAGAAGTACAGCGCCACTTACAGGCCCGGCATATGTACTACAGCGTTTCCAGTGGTCTCGTGTGAACGGACACGTTAAATGAGCCGAATGCGTGTGAACGGAAGACTTTTTTGATAACGAATTCGGTCCGTTTGTGTTTGCGCTCCCGTGCAAACGTCTCGCAGAGAGGCATGAGGAGGAGTGGCATTAGCATTTAAAGCTACAGACATAGAATCAGCTATTTTGGAACAGGGCTGAAACAGAGAGGATTATGGGATGCTGCAATGTATTATCTGTTTGGTATTTTTGAGCCAAACCCTTCAGAGACATGTTTTTTATATATCTGAGACCTATAATATATTGTTGAAAAAAATAGTATAATAGGAATCGGAAATCCAGAGAACTCTTTCTTACCCAAAACTATTATGCAAACCAGTCCTGTGATATATGTGTAAAATCTGCTTCACTAACAGTGTATAAGATCAGTGTGGTGGAATTACAGTAACAGTTCTTCTTCATTATACAATTATACTTCACTGTATGAGCCAAAAAGTCTCTCTTCATCCCTTACACAGTAAGTGCTCTTTCATCACTATAAATTCATGCAATGCCTCTTGGCTTTTTACCTAGATGACAAAACGGGCCTAAATCATTGGGTCCTTTGTCTTATCATGTTCACAAAAATGACTTAGCCTATTCTAGGCAGTAAAAATCATATTTATGAGTTCTGGGATTGAGTAGATGAAGCTGTCCATGGTACAATAGTTACAGAATCCCATTGTCATTATTCACTTGCTAGTGTGACATTTTATGGATATGAGATATTTTAAAGTGATATACTGCTCAGTATGAAGGCCTTTCGAGCTCCTTGGCAATATAGAGTAACATTGATGTGAAGATACTGTGCAGCACATATTGAATCATGTTCCTTATAAAACAATGTGGACAGGCTTTTCCAGGGGAGGAGTTAGAACAGAAAACTCCTGTTACTGTAGGAAAGTATTTGTTTGTGTGTCTAGACTACTTTTGATTGTTACTTTTCAAAATGTCTGATATCTGTAATTGGGACCCTAAAGGCTACATGATGCTTTGAGGATGAACAAGCAGATGAATTAAACCTGAAGCTAATAGAGGAGGAATTCCCGATAATAATAATAATAATAATAATAATAATAATAACTTTATTTGTATAGGACCTTTCATAAAGGGGATTGCAGTTCAAAGTGCTTTACATCACTAAGAAATAAGACACACAATCAGTGTAAAACAAGCAGCAAGAGCAAAGCATAAAGTGGGATAAAATAATAAATTAAAAAAAACATGGGGAATAAAACATAGAGAAATAGTGCAATGTCAATCACAGAGAATAGTGCAGTATAGAGTAAAATCAGTAAAATGCTTTGGTAAAGAGATAGGCATTTTTAAAAGGCAGCTTAAAACCTAACGTATTGGCTTCCCTAATATTGTTGGGTAACGTGTTCCGATGCTCAGCCTCACACAGAGCCCTCCACACAGGTGAGCAGCCTACAATAACTTTGTGGTTGAAACTGACCGTACATAGGAGAACTATTAGGTTGCAAGGAAAGGAGGCATTTTAATCTTGTGTTGTGTGCACTGCTCATACCGTGGAGCCCTTTTTTGCTGTAGGACTATGTGTTTGTACACGCTGTGTTGTTTCTATTTTTAATACATGTGTGTTCTCTGCTTTGGTGCTGCTTTATTCTGCTATTGATTCAATAACAGCTGTCCGGTAATCAGTGCTTGAATTGGGCCGGTACTCACCGGTACGCAGTACCGGCACTTCTGATTTTTACCCATGTGGTACCGGCACTTCTTACTGAGTACCGGCACCTTGCCGNAAATGGCCCCGTGGTGGCACCATTATCTCTTTTTATTATTTGTGTGTTTTTGCTTAGTTGCGTTGATTTCTGGCTACTTGTCTGGTTAATGCCAGTGAGGGCTAGGCAGGCGGTTGTATATTTGTATAATTGATAATCAAATGTGTGCATGGGCAGCCTACAATTATATTTAAAAAAAAATGGATGGTTAATATTGAAGGTTATAAGGGTATATGTGTATATATTGTGACATGTTAATGCAATTCATTTTGTATCACAAAAAATATTTAATGTAATAAGTCTATCACGTAACATATATATAATTATATTAGGGCTGTCAAACGATTAACATTTTTAATCAGATTAATCACAGCTTAAAAATTAATTAATCATGATTAATCACCATTCGAACTATGTCCAAAATATGCCATTTCTTTATGTATATTGTTGTGGGAATGGAAAGATAAATGAAAGAAGGCGGATATATCCATTTAACATACAATATGTATGTTTATTATAACATTGTTCTGTGTGTCAAAATGAAAGACAGCCCACACACCTATCAATCATCAAACCGTGGGGTCTTATTTCATTACGTGTTTATTTCTATCAACACGTAATGTTGTATCGATGTATTGTATATAGAGATGCACTACCGCAAAAGTAGTCTCCGTCAGGACTTCCTGCAACAACACCACGCGGTTATCGTGATTCTGATTGGCCAGAAGACATTATCAAAGATGTTCTATGGAAAAGACGATCACTACGTGACAAAAGTTTTCAAAACCGTTTCTAGTCTTCGGTATTTCCAGACAAGTGGCTGCTGAAATCAATTTTACTAACTGCTGTCTGTGCAATTTACTCCGCGCGAGTTGGCGGACTTTATTTTGCTTACTTTAACATCATTTTTCATGGTGGGGCTAAGCCATTTCTTGGTATGGCTGTAGCCTACCCAATCGCTGCCACTGTGGGATGTATGGGGCGGGCCATTCTGCACATGCGTTAAATGCGTTAAATATTTTTAACGCAATTAATTCAAAAAATTAATTACCGCCGTTAACGCGATAATTTTGACAGCATTAAAATATATACATTTTTACTTTTACATCCATTCATCCATCAACACTTTTCCTTTTAAAATGTAAAACAGTAATTATTCTTCTCATCAATTTGTTTTACTCTAATCACGTACATATTTACACAATACATGTTTAAAATCTACAA